ATGAAAAGTCTAAAATACTTGAATTTTTGCTTTTGAATATATATTTTTTTATGGCTACAAATGGCTCTCCATAATGTTTAAGTCCAACTTAGAGTTGTTTGACTTAGGATCTTTGTGAAACACCACCCTGGCGTTTAGTGTGCATGCCACTTGGGCTAATTATTGTGATCGCTCAAAATTGGTGAATGTTTTATGCTGCAGAGAATTTAAATCATTTTTTAAACAACCCAGACTTGATGCTGTAATTCACATGAATTAATGTTTTGAAAGTATTGGGTCTTACAAGGTATTGAGTAAACTATGTAAAACTCTTATTACTGTTCAGAAACACCATTGAGTATGCTCGACATAACAGCATTAGGAGAGAGAGAGAGGGAGGGAGAGAGAGAGAGAGAGAGAGAGAGAGAGAGAGAGAGAGAGAGAGAGAGAGAGAGAGAAAGAGAGTAGAAGAAGTGGGGCATGCGGGAGCTGACAGCATCTTTATTCCATTTCTATATGGCTTGCATGAAGGCATCATGAGCATTTGTGATTAATGAGTCATATTTCTCTCCGCCAGGTTCCGAGCGAAGCTCTCTCCAAAGCTAAGAGCAGCTCAGACAGTATTATAGTTCCCAGATGCATTTGGTATTAAGAATGTAGCATGCACTGCACATAGTAAGCTGCATGATTATCTGAAAGCATTGGGTAGAATGAATTATTCATAAAAAGACATAACATCAACTTGCCCTATAAACTTTCGTTTTACTATTTATCACATCGGGAATACCTTATGCATCACATGATATTGATATCACATGCAAGTACGTTCTCACAAGAACCTAAAAAAACATAATAAGAAAGAAATACTATTTCAAATAGAAAAATATACTGACTTTGTACGTATTGGTTATCAACATGTATGTTTCATATTACGGAACAATGTAACATTTTACAGAAACTTTATCTTTTAGATTTTATTAAGGAGATAGTACATGAGGCATCAAGTTACCCACCTAGGAAAGGGGTTTTCCCTTACATCCATCCTCTTCCGGAGGACAGATTGTATGCACTCAGTTTTTCATTAATCATAGTCTAAAATTATTCGTTATTCTCAATTTTAAGTCGAATGGATTGTAGTTCCAGTGAGTTATGAAGTATATGTGTACACTGTATATTATCTCTTCACCTGCTTATGAAAATATGTAAAGGAAAACTTCATAAGCAGTCACAAAATCTTTCAAGAAGATCTCTCAAGAGCAGTTTCTGTCTCTTACCGTCTGGCATATTAAACATTCTATAAAAAAAAAAAACGGGTCATAATGTTTGATAATAATTGATGACTTATTGTTCCTGACAATAAGTTACTATCTAGAAAGTTTGTAGACATTTGAACAAATTGCATCATGGATTTTCAACCAAAAAAGCGAAAATTTGCAAATATTGATAAGTAAGTCAATTATGTGGTATATATGCGATACCCTAACTGCATTTTCTTAGAAAGAGCAATGGTAGGTAGAAAATAAACCAAAAATAGTTAGTTTTGATGTAGTTATATTGACCAAAACCTTCCTGTGGGGATGCCGCTATGTTTCTGCTTTCTGCGAAAATTCAATTAAACATTGAAACGGAGGTGAAAACCGCATGGGAAATGTAGACGAGAAACAGGATTCCTGCCCGCTGTCAAGTCCCTAAAGGCCTTTCTGCATCTCCATCTCGATCATGATGAAGATGGTGGAAGATGGAGGACTGGTATGTACCAGGGATGCCCTCCTTTCACTTTGGGAGGAAGTCTTTGGGTGGGAGGATGCGGAGGGAGTAAGTTTGTTTATCCGGGAATATTGATGAGGAATGGAAGTTCATAAATCAACATCGCAAGTGCTGATTAAACTTGAAGCAGCTAGCTCTGTTTAGAGACGGAGGAGAGGGAGAGAGGGAGAGAGAGAGAGGAGATTGGGGGGGGGGTGGTAAATGAAGAGAGAAGGTTTTTTAGGTTGGTTGGTTAGAGTTGGTGAGAGAGAGAGACAAAAAAGGTGGGGGTAGGGGTAGAGAGAGAAAGAGCAAGAAATATGAAGAGAGTAGAAAGCAGAGAGCAATAGATATAAAGAAAGGATAGAGGAAGAGAGATATAGAGGGGAGGAGAAGAAGAAGGAGGGGGATGAGGAGGGGGGGGGGGTGTGGTAAGTAATGAAGGAAAGAGGAGGGCAGAGAAAGAGGAAATTCTTATCTTGGAAATCAGCTTTTGCTATGACGATGTTCCACCTCATGTGTTGAGGAATAAATATTTAAGTGATGAGAGACATGGACAGAGATATGAAAGGAAAGACAGAGAGAGAGAGGGGGAGAGGGGGGGGGAGGGGGGGGGGGAGTGGAGTAGGTGGGGTTTCTTCTTTTTCAGAAATCAGCTTTTCCTGTAAGGATGTTTCACCTCATGAGTTGCGAAATAAACATACATAAATAATTAGAGATACAGAGAGATATGTAAAGGGAGAGAGACAGAGGCAAACAATCACATAGAGATAGAGAAGGAATAATGAAATATGGGTAGACTTAGTAAGTTAAAGAGAAAATAAAGGGAGAGGGGGGTGTACTACTTAAAGTGACAGGCAGAAAGAGAGGGAAACAGATAGACACAGAATAGTAGAGAGAGAGAGAGAGAGAGAGAGAGAAAGAGAGAGAGAGAGAGGGGCAGATAGATAGATTGACAAACAGACAGAAGAGTTACAGAACTAGTGAGAAGCACACTCAGGAAAGAGAAATAAGAGGGGTAGAGAAAGAGAGAGAGAGAGAGAGAGAGGGGGGGAGGGTTAAATTGGAAAAAGAGCAAGTGCTCTTCGTAGATAATGATTATACTTTTATATATATGTGATTGAAGAGAAATGGGGGAAACAGTTGAGGAAAGTGACATGACAAAGCAAATGTTTGTGAAGGAAGATAAAGAAGAAGAGGATCCAAAATGAAAGATTGAGAGAAAGTGGGGCACAGCTCAGTAGAGACGACACAGGCTTAATCACAGATCTAGAAGAGACATGCAGATACAGACACCTGGAGGGCTGATTAAACTTAAACTACGGGGAAAGTGATGAATCGTCCGGCTTACAGGAACTTCATCTTTCAGTCACGTAATGAACGCACGGGAGATAGAGCTAGACTGGATGGGTGAAATGATCCAGGAGACGGGGACAAAGGGTTTAGAAGAGAAAATAGAGAGAGAGAGAGATAGAGAGGGAAGTGTGTGAGAGAGAGATATATATAGAGAGGAAAAGGATTTAGAAGAGATAGAGATAAAAACATAAAGAGAGAAAAGTGAGAGAGAGAGAGATAGAGAGGGAAGTGTGTGAGAGAGAGATATATATAGAGAGGAAAAGGATTTAGAAGAGATAGAGATAAAAACATAAAGAGAGAAAAGTGAGAGAGAGAGAGAGAAAGAGAGATTGAGAGACAATGGGTTTAGAAGAGATGGAGATGAAAGAAGAAAATAGGAGATCGAGAGGAAGGGAGAGAGAGAGAGAGAGAGAGAGAGAGAGAGAGAGAGAGAGAATCGTCAAGTCACGTAATGAATGCACAAGAGAAAGAGCTAGACTGCATGGGTGAAATGATCCAGGAGAGAGAGAGAGAGACAAAGGGTTTAGAAGAGATAATAAAGGCACAGAGACAGATGAAGACAGAGAGAGAGAGAGAGAGAGAGAGAGGGAGAGACAGACAGACAGACAGATAGAGAGACAGACAGACAGAAATAAATAATAAGGAAATAGCCCAGAGGAGAGATAGAGAAAGATAAAATGGGACAGATGAGACAGAGAGACAGAAGTAGGCAGAAATCCAACAGACAAAGATTCAGTGCACTGTTTTTCCAAGAATTTTTTCTCAAGGAGGAATATTCTAACAAGAAACACGGCAAATCTAAGGGCATACCATCAATTTCCTGTCCTTTGTTTAATCATAATATACCTAATCAAATAAGAGAGGAGAACCCGATACCAGCAATCGTGTTATGACATTTCCATAACATTTATTATGACCAAAGGAAATTAACTTCTAAACACTATTTAGAATTGCTTTTACCACATTCACTTCCTGTCAGTGAAAAACACTTGCCAAATCATGGAAGGTTATCTTGTCATAAAATGAAAGATTTGGTTAAATCTTGAAGATTCTCTGAAGAACTGGCTGTGCTTTGCATTGAAAGGAATTGTGTATCACTTCTGAGATGAAAAAAATCCTTCAAGTTTATTTTTACAATCTTGATTAGATATTAAAGTCCTATTTTTCAATATTGATTTTTTTAATTTAAATGCAAAAAGTGGCCTATATTGTTGAAATGTTAAGGCATGTTATTTTTCTTTTCAGGAGGTTGGTGTCAATATTTCTAAACATGTTTGTTTTTAACTATCACATGACTTTTGTGATATTTTCTTTGGAATTACTTGAAGAACAAAAAATAGTTTTAAACTGATTATCAGTCTCGATGGATTCTCTGTTTGAGTAAAGCAGAAATAACAGAGAAGCTGATAAGGAAATTCAAAAAACTAACTGTACTTTTAACATTGATGAGTTGTTAATACGTGTAATCACTAATTATATTTGAGTCTCAAATTGGCACTGTGTATCATTCAAATGATTTTATTTCTCATGCAAAACATAATACAATGAATAAGTATATTACAGAAAAAATATGCAATGAAACGACAAATATAATCGAAATAGCACGAGAAAAGAGGAACTAAAGAAAAGCAGAGCTTGTTGAAGTGTAAGTTCCTCTGATACTGTTTTACATTAGAATTTGAACAATGTATACTTAGAAAGTCATGTCAATGATTGCTCTTTATTCTCTCTCTCTCCATGCAGGCTTCTTTATCGATGACGACCTGCTATACGAGGACATCCTGGGCCCACCTGAGGAGGAGATCCCTGTGGAGGACTACTACGAATCGGACAACTGCTCGGACTGCTCCTGGGGTTCCGAGGAGTGGGACACTTACGACAGCGAGCAGGAGGAGATGGTGCACAGCTACGTGGAGGCGACGGACCACTCCCCAAGGGAGCGGTGGAGCGGGGTGGTGGAGGAGGAGGTAATGGTGGGGGTGTAGGAGGGAACCACGTCGGAAGCTCCCACAGGAGGTCGATGGTCTCCACGTACAGCATGGAGAAGGCTCCGCAGAGGGAGGAGGCAAAGGTAAGCTGGATCCTTGAACATTTCCTCTCTTTTTGCTGTTGATAATGGATAGATATATCATCTGTTAGGAGCCAGAAGGGCTATGACTCATATGCTTTAAAGCCCCACTGTACTACTTGCTTACTCTATATAGAAAACAATGCCTAAGCTGTCCCCGTTGGTCCCCCATGATCCTCTTTTTCTTATGTTTATTGAGAGCTGATTAGATGAGATAGCCACCTGTCAGTGCCCACGCTGGGTGGTCTAATCCCTCCTGGCCAAACTAGTACAGACAGGTTTTAAAACAGAGGTCTAAACAGACGATAGTGGTTTAATGGCTACTATTGTTCTAAAAAAAGTGGAACCATGTAGTGAAGCAGATTTAGGGTAGAGGGAGATGGGGCCCCTAGGCAATTATATCGATTGAGCATACTTTAACTGTGCAACCCAAAGAAATAAACACATGCTTGTTGAGATTTTGGCACTTTTAAAAAATGTGAGAATTTTGTAATGCAGAATGATGGCTTCAACCGCTTAAAGCTAGAGGGGCATTAAGTCATATCCGTAAGCATGGAGCTAATGCCTATTTATATGAATCAATGCCTTTTTGGTTCTCAGCAGTATGGTCATCCCCTTGGTATGCTATGCCAATGTTAAAGGGTAGATTAAAGCCTCATTTTGCACTTAGAGAAGGCATTTCATTTACATTTGCCTCTCTCAACCCAGTCAGAAAGTAAGGGCAGAAACTCGCCAAATGCTTGTAGTGCTATGTGTTGAAGCTTGCCTACAGCTAGGGTTTTGAATAAATGAGCGCTGTGTTTTTCCATGCACACTGGCAATAGATTGCATAGACAAATGATGCTTTCGCAAATACACAATTATTGATTTAACAGTTACCAACGATAGTTACCAAAGATTTGATAAAATGAATGTAATTTTTGTAAGAAGTCATCATCTTACCAGATGATGGTCTGGCTATTCACGCTAAGCTTATACCTGGATTATAAGAAACATCAGGTCATTTCAAAACATAAATTTGTCTCTGTCTGAATGCGAAATTTTTTCTTCCATGATGAATACATAAGTTATGAACTCCCTTTCCTGTAATCTAAAATTCAGAACGAGAAGCCCAGCCGTAAGCTCCATCTACTTACGTTTGTAGTCCTACTTCATGTCGATTACAACACAAGATGACTTGTAGCAGTGTACTTGTCTTTACAAGATAACATTCATGGCCAAGCCAAAAATTGCCAGCGACTCTGTGTCTAATTTGATAAACATGACGCGCACTTACCCACCGTCTTTTATGGAAATCATGATTTTGTTCATGCAGTCGTAGATATGCACCCGTAAGGATAGAAACATAACCATCATCGACATGGCGCGAGTCACGAAGCTCGAGATAAAAGCTCTATAGAGATATAATGTGATGGAGGAATCATTTCTGAAACTATTCTAGGTCGTTAATGGCAGGCTGGAAAATGCAGCCGCATGTTTGACCTTAATGTTCCAGTTTTGCAGTGCTCTTTCCGGGTCTTTGTTCGCCCATGTAGCGGAGTAAAAGAAAAAAGAAAATGTCATTACCTTAGAAAGTTTGCCTCCTCTCCCGTTCTGCTTTCATCCTTTTTTGTGTTTTTTGTTGAAATTCTGAGAGCAGGTTCTACTTGAAGAAAAGATGTGAATGGCATTTTAGTAAAAATGAATTGTGACTTCCAGATGATGATTATCTACATTTACTAGCACTTTTAGCCTGGATTTCATTTCAAGAAACCTTTTTCCCCCAATTAAATCAAAATGTTTTCAGATGATTTTAGTAGCATGTCACAAAACATGATTCTTGAATTGTCTTGAATTTGGCAGACTCTAAAGTAACCAATCTAGAAAGGTTGCCATTTTGTTATCAGATTAAAAACAATGTCTAGTTTATCAGATCAGATTTTAAAAAAGTGTCAAAAACAATGTCTAGCTACAGCTCAGAAAGCAAAAGAGTAACAAAATATGCGTTAATTTGAGTAGAAGGTTGTTAGCACCCGCGCAAGCCACAAAGCTGTTTTCCTATAACTTGCTGCTATGGTTTTGACTCCTCCACACATATTAAACCAATTTTGTGACCATGACATGGATTTCTCTCTTTATCAATTAATGCTAACTAAAAATAGAAAATGGATTTTAATAGCCTAACTCGAGTAGTTTCAAATCAAATGAGCACATGCTTTTTACGTTAGGGGCATTTTAATTCTCATGACCTTTAGCTTAGCATAGTAGTGCATGTCCGCATAAAGCGGAACGGCGCAGTTTACATAGGCCTTCAGCTAGCCACAAAACGACGAGTTGTTCTCATAAACCTGTTTGTCTCGAGATCGTGATTTGGTAATGAAATGCATTCAGTCTTTGCCTAACTCTTGCTCTAAAGACAACAACATCCAAGCGAGTTTTGTATACATCTAACACCACAAGCCACAAACGAGAGTCCCAGCTAAACCGTTGAATAATGCTTTTCTATATTTAGATGACGACTTGAAGCCTGCAATGTAAGGAATCTGTTTTCAACTCCAAATGAAGCAATCTTGGACTGATTAGATGCCATTGAAATCAAACAGAATCGTGGCCTGCTATTCATTTATTTGTTATTCCCTGCCCGGCATGCTGCTTTAAATCCGCATCTGAATGCATGTAATGCGTTAACGTAAATGCTTGTTGCCTAGGTGATGCTCTGGCAGTTATGTCCTCAACGAATTTTGGAAAAGCAAGCAGTTTCCGTCTTTGAGAATGACATGAAATTTGTCAACGAAATGAGGAGACGAGGAGATTTTCTTGCTGTGTATCAAGTAAATTTGTAGAGGCAAAGTGAAATTAGTTTTCATATTGAGTTACAATGGAGATGTGCCTTTTTAAGGCAGGTGGAAATGGGGAAAATAATTAAAAGAAGAAAAGAATGGAGAAGAGGGGATAGAGAAATTAGGATTATAGGATAGCATCGGAGAGGTAGGGAGGGACGGAGGGAGAAAATATTGGCATAGATTCCATGAACAGAAGAGAAGAGATGTGAATGGAATCTGAATTGATATATAAGCAGAGTAGAAAGAAAGACATAGAGAGAGAAAAGGGAGAGAGAGAGAGAGGGAGAGAGAGAGGGGGGAGAGAGAAAGAGAGAGAGAGAGAGGGGGAGAGAGAAAGAGAAGAGAGAAAGATTGTGTAAAAATTACCATGAAGAAAATATGAGAGAGTGCTTTAAAAACGATGCAGAATTGGAAGAATGATAGACGTCAGTGTGCGTTTGTCTAGAAAGGGAAATATATAGAAGTTAAAGAAAAGAAAAACAAACAAGAGAAGTAGAATGAAATAGAAAGCAAGGAAAATATTGAAGTGCATAAAAGGTAGAGGGATAAGAATTGAAATTCAATACCACTCTTGTCTGAAACATATTATTGGTTGTCTAACGACAAGCATTTGTCAAACATTCTTGGGAAAAAAAGAGTGGTCACTGAAAGGAGATTTTCCAAACTCTACTTATTAAATGTACCAACCATGTTCAACTGTAAAGGGTCGGGGGCAAGGTAGCACTTTGAATGTGTGACCATTGTGCTAAATCTGAAAATAAAATCTGAATGTTTTGGTATTCCTTCCCCTCCTGATTTTTTTATCTTTTTAAATATTTCTCATCCTCATGAAGAGGGACATGCAAATGGGTGCTGTCATATATGAGGTCAGTATGGCCTTGTTTTCAGCTCAAGTTTTCGCTTTTAGAGAGATCGATATATTCTAATATCATATGACGATGTGCAACATACATTTTAGCCATGTTTTCAACTGAAGTTTTTGCTTTGAGAGAAATCATTATTGTGCAACATACATTGTAGCCATGTTTTCAACTCAAGTTTTTGCTTTGCGCGAAATCATTGTATTGTAATATCATATGTCGTTGTGCAACATGCACTGTAGCATCTGTTTTTCATGTAAAAACCATCAGAAGCAGTGATCATTCCGTTCCGTCATTTACATTGGATTTCATTGCGATTATTATTTGATGCTAAACATATCTATAAAGATATCTCATTCGCTTTGCAGTGCCAATTGCACTTGAAATCTCATTGATTTAGCTTCATATCCCCGCATTGAATCAGGCATGCTGGAAACAAAATTTTCATGGAATGATAATATTTACATTGCACCAATGCAGTACATTACAAAGGAAAAAAAACATGTATCAGAAATTGTTAAGTGTTACTTGTGCAACATGCATTGTAACCATCTTAATCTTGTAAGCAAAACAAGTTTAATCCTATTTGTGAAAATACATATGTTTGGTGAAAAAGTAAATGCGGCTGATGAGTTTATGTTGTTGTTGAAGAAAAAAATGATCTAACTAGAATTATTTGATATTTTGATTTTAATTACATTTCAAAACTAGGAACACAGCTCCCACCTGCGAAATATGCATGTCTTTATCTTTAGAAACGTATGAAACATGGAAAATAATACCCACTCCCTTTTTGTACATTATGAGTCGTTCATGAACGTGAGAGTTGACATGTAATTGACATGCTGCACCGTACTGCCCCACACCCTTTAACATTTTAACATTCTCCAAATATTTATCTTCAATTCCTGTCTGTCGATGAAAAATGAGACACTTATATTACGACATAGCCGTCCATCTTGTGCGCTGTATTTCAAGCCATTGCTGTGGGCAGTAAGCATGTTCCGACGCCATGCGGGGGGTAAAAAGAAGCATCGCCCGGTGACAGAATTGTGAAAGCATTTCAGTTCTGATCTTCTCACTTGCTTGTTTTTTGCGGGAAATGCGCATTTAGTTGTCTCCATCAATTTGCCTCACTTTATTAAAAGTTATCAATCTACTTTTGTTTTGCAAGATGTAACGGTTGGATAAAATAATTTGAAAGAACATTGAGGTGATCAAAGTGTAGGCTTGTATTGAAAGGGCATCCTAGAGCAATTTTGTATGATTTAAGATAAATTTTATTTTATTCATTTCATTTCATTTGTTTATTTTTAGCTGA